ATTTGTTTATTTGATGATGATGATGATGATATTGTTGTTTTTGTTGTTGTTGTTATTATTAATATTATCATTATTACTATTGTGAAGGTCATCTTGAGGGCTCCGTTCAGAACTTACTTTACACGTCTATGCATATCCAGGGTCCCAATTTTGTGGGGACCTAAATGGGGTAGCCAAAACACCATACAGGAAAGACACTTGTTGTTAGAAGAAGGAACATCAATCAATGAGACTTTTACCATCATTTATATCAGTTATGATTTTTCTCATTTTTATTATCGTTATCAGCATTTTTATTTTTATTATTACTGCTACTATAATCTTCAATGTTATCATTAGGCTATGGTGCTCTGTTATTACACCACTCACATACTTTATTTTTCCGATCCAGCGGCGTTTTGGGTTCTAGCCCTTCGGTCTGTCGATATGGCAAAGAATTTACTGGTTTTAATCAGATGTGCTTTGTCGCTGTATAGTATAGAGTATTTACACCACTCACATAATATGACTTAAACTTACTCAGGTTTATTTATGTGTTTTTGTCTGTGTGTACATGTATAGGAATAAGTCAAGAGCGGACGGGATCAAGAAGGAGGGAGAGTTGATGATGTCAGTGAAGACGGAGATGGTGGAAGGGGTAGGGCTGAGAGAGGCTTGGGGGCGGGGGCACTGAGAGAGCTAGGCTGAGAGGGCCTCTGGGAGGACGTGGGAAGCAGAATATGCTTCGGGAGGTTGTTGGGCTCAGAGAGGCGGTAGGAAGTTGTGGAGAAGATGACTTTGATAGCTTCCTGTGTGGCCGTGTGTGTTGCCAGAGACGATGGATATTCCCCGGATTTTTCGTGAGTTTCGGACAGTGAAAGAAAAGTTTTGAGTTTGGTTTTTTTCCTCTCCGTTTTTTATTTTATTTTCATTTACGTTCAAGTGCACCGTTCTGTTCCTGCGTTGAAAGCACTCGATGTTGTTGTGAAGCATGTTGGCCATCTCCGATAATGCAATTCCTGTCCACCGCCCCACCCTCCCGGCCTCTGTCTCTCCCCTCTCGGCATTTGGTGGTGTGCCCGTGGTGTAAAGGACGGGGAAGCGTCCAACTCTCGGCTAGTCTTCAATGGTACAATGACTCGCAGACAGTCCAAGAATTTCCTGGATGCCGGTAACAACTTTGCAGTGTTCTCGGTTCGGGCTTCTGGGAAGAAGGCGAACCGAACCTGCGACTATTGCGGCGTGGTCAAGCCCACTCCGGCCGCTCTCATACGTCACATCCGCAAACACACCGGGGAGCGACCCTTTTCCTGTCAGGTGGGTTGTGGTGTGGCTCTTGTGTCGCTGTTGTTGGCTGTGGG